TGATTTATAATCTCTCAATGCAACCTAAAGATAACTCATTAACAAAACTGAAGTTTCATTTTCTGCTCTTTGTCCTTGCATGGCTAATTTCTCTCCATCTTTTTCTGTTGCAATGGGAAACTCTTTGACCCCCCCTTTCTTTGTCTTGTCATGTTTCTGAAAAGGTACAAAGCTGAAAGCATTGTGGCCACACCCCCTAGGATTCTACGTAAAATAAGCAGAGGCAGTTGGGAAAAATGCCAGTGCACCCAGACGGAAGATGAGGAGTCCCCCACTTTAAACCTCAATCTGACCTGCGCATCCAGCAGTCAAGGCTGGTGACCTTTTGACATGGCTCAAGTGGAAGGGTCAGGGAGCTCTATTATTCATACTGACACTCACAGTATTTTAGATTGGTGGAGTTCTTTTGGACATGCACACCCGGAGAGTTGTTTAGAGGTTTTTTAGATGTGTGACAGGGAATTCCTTGAGGACTCTCAGCTGTTTTTAGATGTGTCAGGGAGTTCCTTTATGACTTTGACACAATGATGCACAAACAGCTTTTTTTAGACTCAGGGATTTGGTTTAGGAGCTTTGATGTAGGTCTCTGGTATGTTAACCACATTTTTTTTATTTTACACCCCTGAAAAAGCTGGTTGCACTTTTCACATTGTATGAACATTTGATGGCAAGTAGGCCAAGTGGAATGGTCTAAAATAACTTGGAGTGAAATTAACATACATTTAAGAATGCTTTTTCCTTGTCCTACAAAGTTACCATTTTGGAGGTTTTATTTTGACACAGTTACTCTTGCGTGGCTAGACATGATTGCAGAACAAGAGTACATGTCTGGGGTCAACTTGTTAAACTTTTGGTGATGGATTGAAGCCAAATCCACTGCAATCGGCAGCTTGCGAGTGTGCTTCTTCTTAGTAGGCTTTTGGAGACTGTCACCAAAGCATCCCGAACTACTCAAATACATTCAAAGCATTAATGCAAAACGTCAGTAGATAAAGGGTTTTGTCAGTAGTATGGGGTTATGGGCAGGGCCCTGTTTAAAAGTTAACCCCTTAGAACTGAACAACACCAAAAGACAGTTGATGTGGGTTTACCTTTCTCTACTGGCTTACATCCCTTGTGCTTTACTTTTGTATACAGTAAATTAATGTAAAACTTTGAAGCAAAATTTAAAAAATGAACAATAGTTGGCATTGATGTGGACCTTTCTTTACAGGCTTGTACATTAATTATATTCCAACGGTGTACACAGATATATACTTTGGTACTGAAAAGACAAAATATGACCATAAACACAAATAGTTTTTCTGTTAAAATGTTTTCTCTCATGTAATAAGAGTAATGTAGTAGAAGTTCAATCATCTTTGTCTCCTGTACAGGGCAGCTGCAGTGTGGGATCTAAAGTTGTGATCCTGCAGCTCTGAAGATGGACACTGCTGCTCCTAGTGATTACAAGAATTGTAATGTGTGTTACAATTCTTCGTTACAAAAAACATATCGCTGCTGTCGGAAGAAAACCTCGTATCTCCATTTTGGTCGTTTTTTAGTTTTTGACATAATTTGAAAATGCCTGTTGCCCTTTACACTGTGTGTATATTTTATGATGAATAGACCAAAAGAAACAGCCCAAAATGACTTGGAAAGATGTCTGGTTCCATTGATTTACATTAAAAGTAGAGTACGTTTTTTCCTTCTCCTGTAAAGTTAGCATTTTGGAGATATGCGGTTTTCTTCTGACAACAGTGATATTCACAGTACTGTAATGCATTACTTTGTACTGCGTAACCCCCAACAGTGGCTACTGTCATGTTGCCTAAGCACCAGAATAAGTTTGTTTTATGAAAAAGTATCTCAAGTGACAACATCTTAAATCTAATATTTCTAATTCTGGGGCTGTTGTAAGAATATTATAAGATGATTTAACTTATTTCTAGACATTTTACTTGTGTTAGAAAAATTTATGTCAAAGGCAAAATTTTGAAAGCAAATACAAGTGAAATGATCTGCCACTGGAAAAAGACTCCTGTGAAAACCTGCTTAAAAAAAGTAAAAAAGTATAGAAATAGAATAGAAATAGAATAATGTTATGATGTTCTTGCCACAATCTCATGAGATATATTAGATATCTTGACTACATTTTAAGATGCTTTCATTTGCTAAGATATCATTTACCACCCTTGAAAGCCTGTTCTCTCACCTCCACCTGTTGGTGTACGTCTATACTGAACAGAGTACATCTTGCACCTTATTTTGCCAAAACATCAGGTATTTGACACCACAAAAAGTGCAGAAAGACTTTATTCATGATGTCAGCTCTAATCCAAGGAGAGGAGGTAGTGAATGAACTGGAGCCTGGCCTGTAGCACACATTGTCTGTTCTACTGTAGATACTTCATGTGCTTTTAGCAGCCTGTAAACTGCACGTTTCCAGGCAGTTCACACACCTGAATCGGAAAGCTGCATAAGCTGGTGCAGTGAAGTATACGGTGACCATTTTCTTGAATTTCGGAATAGGCTACTGATTCTTACTATGTCTTACAGTAACAAACGACTGTCAACAAATGACTCAAAGGAAAGAGCGTGATACGTTGTCATCGTATACATGATTTTGAGAAAACAGCTGGTGCCCTTTTTGACACTGCAGTGATGCAGCCTGCTGAGGCGGTTTCGTGACACTTCCTGGCCTGTGGTTAGGAATCCCCCTGAGAAAACTAAGAAATGTCAACAAGACCTGTTTCTCTTACAGTAAACACCGTCCTCCTGAGTCACATTCGCATGACTCATGTGTCATTTACAGACCTCATGAAAGCATGATTAATAATTGGATATGAATTATTAAGTGGCATGGGTTGTATGACAACCAAAAGTGTAGTCTGATACGTAGGTATATGAAATAAACAAATGGTAAACACATATAAACATTTGCACTGGCACTCGGGCCACCAAGCTAATGAATCTAGTCAAGCTGATTACTTTTTTACAAAAAATGTATTCATGTTATGGGTATTTGTTATGCTTAAACTCCAGTGTAATTTTATTCAAACTATGAAAAAAGTACTGAAATAAAATGCATTTTATTTCTGACATTTTAACATGTTAACATAAATTAAGAATTTGTGGTCAGAATTTGGCCTATAGAAACATGTCTATCATATATGTGTTGCGCTTACAATTATATGCTTTAGTACCAAAAAACAGTCATGTATTGCTTTGAAAAAAGGAAATATTTATTGAGAACTTTCATTAATAAGAACTTTGCCATCATGTTAGCTATCATGGTGGTTACAGTTGCCACGTTCCAATAAAGTCTCATTTGATGCAATTAATTCTATGCCTGACCAAACAGGCTGGATCTCTCACAGAAGGGCGGATTAATGGTGGATATGGGTGAAAATTCAACTGGTTTTGTAGTTTGTTAAAAGGGGACAAAATCTCCAAAATAAGGGGCCATTCTGGGCTACAAGATCTGCATTTTAGTGGCCAAATTGTGAAATATTGTGATTACTTCCATTTACAATAGTAGCACTTAGAGTTGTCCAGGACAGATCTAGTTGGGCAGAAATTTAAAAAACTGATTTGTAGCAAAGGTGACATTCTATGACAGTGTCACATTTAAAGTCACTGAGCCTATTCTACTTCCAATGTTTGCCTATGGAGATTGCATCACTATGTGCTTGATTTTATACACCTGTTAGCAATGTGTGGCCAAATAAACCATTTGGTGCATTCTTAAAAAGAAGGAATGCACTGATGAGCTCAGAAACTTCAAAGGGTCCTGTAACCACAGATAACAACTGTGGTGGAAGACAGAAGAATTTTTTTCCCTGGTGAAGAAAAACCCCTTCACAACAGTTGGTTAGATCAAGAACATCCTCCATATCTGTGTCAACATCAACAATCAAGACAACACTGAACCAGAGTAAATACAGAGGTTTTACCGCAAGATGTAAACCATTGGTAAGCTTCAAAAACAGGAAGACCAGATTAGAGTTTGCCAAAAAAATCTAAAAAGCCTGTGCAGTTCTGTAACAACAGCTCATTGACAAATGAACAAAGATCAACTTGTACCAGAATTATGGGAAGAAAAAGAGTCTGGAGAAAGAGAGGAACTGCTCATGATCCAAAGCTTACCACCTCATCTGTCAAGCATGGTGGAGGTAATGTAATGATGTGAGCATGTATTGCTGTGTATGAAACTGGTTCCCTTATATTTATTGATGTGAGATCTGACAAAAGCAGCAGGGTGAACTCTGAAGTGTACAGGACTATATTATCTGCTCAGATTCAGCAAAATGCTTAAAAACTCATTGGACGGAGCTTCACAGTGCAGACGGGCAACGACCTGAAGCATATTGTGAAAGCAACCCAAGACTTGTATAAGGCAGAGAAGTGCAATGCCCAAGTCAGTCACCTGACCTTAGTCCAATCAAGCATGTATTTCATCTTCTGAAGGCAAAACGCTGCAAGAAAAAGAAGGAACTTAAGACAGCTGTAGTAAAAGACTGGCAGAGCAGGAAAGAAACCCAGCATCTGGTGATGTCTGTGGCTTTCAGACTTCAGTCAGTCATTACCTGCAAAGGATTTGCCATCAAGTATTAAAAATCAGGACTTAATTTACGATTTTGTTCGTTTGTCTAATTACTTCTGAGCCCCTAAGTGTCTAAGGGGCTATGTACGAAAATAGTTATAATTCCCAAGTTTGGATGCAAATAAAGCTCAATGTCTGCACTTTGAGCTCATATTCATTATTTAATTCCAACTCCAATATGCTGTGGTGGTACACAGCTACAATATCAATAGGGTTTCAACACAGACCGAGCTTCCGTTACAGTAACAGTTCATTCCAGCATTTCTCACGACCACCTGATGGGGTCGCCCTTGTTCCTCCCTCTCCCTCTCTCTCTCTCTCTCTCTCTCTCTCTCTCTCTCTCTCTCTCTCTCTCTCTCTCTCTCTTATATACACACTTCCACTTCAAACCCGGATGGATGACTTCACCGTTCCGCCCGGGTTCCCTTTATGATCGCGGGATCTCCCACATCCCACGGCAGACACACAAACACACACGCAGCGCGCGCACAGAGCGCTCCTGATCCCGCTCCTCTGCGCACAGCCGCTTATAGAACCACACCGAGCAGCAGCAGAACCTCACTCACTCACTCACTCACTCTCAGTCTCTCTCACTCTCAGTCTCTCTCTCTCTCAGTCTCTCACTCTCTCTCTCTTTCTCTCTCACTCTAACCGGAGGATAAAGTGCGCGTGTCCGCGCCGGGATCACCGTCAGTAGCAGCAGCCGCTCGCGCCATCATGTCTGAGGTCCTGCCGTACAGCGAGGGGAAGATGAGCGGTTACGGAGGGGACAACGACGTGAGCCAGATGTCCTTCAGCTGCGGGCTGCAGGACACCAGCGCGTTCTTCGGCGCGGGGCAAGCAAAGAGACCCCCCAAACTCGGACAGATAGGCAGAGCCAAGAGAGGTGAGCGCTCAGCTGCGCACACACACACGATTAGATAACGCTCATTAATTAATGACACAGACTTGTTTATATATAAATATCTATAGAACTACAATATACAAATATATTTCCTCTCTCTGTCTGTCTCTGTGAAGGGTTTCACTACGAAAGGCATTATAGACCACTGTTCTTTGTTATGCTTTTTATTTAGGATATACATGAAGGCCATATTATGAAATAAAATAAGAAATAAAAATATGTAGTGTCCCTTTATACGCCAGCTGTTACAGTTAGATACACAGCATTTTGGAATGAAACTTTTTCATGTGTGTGTGCGCGCGCGTGTGTGTATGTATTCATAACGCGCTGTAAAAATATGGTAAAATAACAGGTTCCTATAAATGCAGTGACATTGAAAATCCTTACCGTTACACTCATTTGCATTCTATCATTTATTAGTCATTTAAACTTGAGCACCTTAAAGCAGTTTAGAGCAAATGTGTGTGTCAGGGAAAACAATGGATTTAAATTATATGACTGAGCCTATGAGAGAGACACACGTGAGCTTCACAGTTCTCCAAACAGGAGAGCTGATGTTCTCGGTTGCGGTTAGAATAACCTTAACGGTGAATGGCAGTTTTCATTAGGTTACAGAAAAAGAGAAATAACTGAACATCATGCAGAACTCTGTGCGAATGCGTCGCAGTGATTCTGTTGAAAATGTGTTTAACGCAGCTGCTGAAGTGTCCGTGCTTTACGCAGGCTGCGTGTTCCTGAAGTGCGAGTAGAGCTGATCCAGTGGTGAGCGAGCGCGCGCATTCGGTCGTGCTGTTCTTTCTGGAAGCGCTATTGCGCACTTTCCATCCGCGCGCTGTGAGGAGGGGTGTGTGTGTGTGTGTGTGTGTGTGTGTGTGTGTGTGTGTGTGTGTGTGTGTGTGTGTGGGGTGGTGGTGGTGGGGGGTGTTCGACACGCGTTGCGGTAACGGTATTAATAATGTGCGTTTCTCTCCTGCAGTGGTCATTGAGGACGACCGGATAGACGAGGTGCTGAAGGGGATGACGGACAAGTCGTCGCCGGGCGTGTAAAGCGCGAACGATGCCTTTTTTGCAGACATTGAAACAAATCTTTTTTACCACCGATTCGAAGCACTTTGTCGGCTGTGCATGAAGGAGGACGGTGAGGAGCTGGAAGAGGCTACGATGCACGGACAAAGGCGGCAAGAGGGGAGGAAAGTAAGGGGGAGGTGGTGGTGGAGGAGGAGGATGAGGAGGGGGAGACTTGGAGAGGACGACGCTGATTTGAGGAGGCTTTGCTGGCAACGAGAAGCCGATTGAAAGCATCGCTGCGCTGTTTGAAAGCTGTTGAAGCGGCCGGGTTGTGTAAACGGCTCCGTCCTGCAGCCTCTGCCCTTTGTTTTAAAGATGGATGGACCTGCCATTACTTCACAAACCATCTTCCAACAAAAAAAGCATCGACTTTAAACCGGAGGACGAAGCACATTACGAGCTTTATTATAATGTAGTTGTACAGAATCTCAATGAAAACAAAAAGACCTTGTCTTTATCCTGTAGCTACTACACGCTTCTAAACGAGCTGATGGAGCTCCAACTCAAAACGTAGAATCCATTCCAGCTGCTGCTAGAGCTCTTTTCTATAAACCACTCAGACCAAGGCTTCTGAAAACCCTGCGAGTTCGTACGACTCAGTGTTCGCAGGTCAACGCGAGGATGGTGCAATGTTAATAGATATATACTCGTTCTTTTTTGTCATTTTAGCCTGGTTTGACCCTTCACGGAGAGGTCTAGAAACATGTACAGCCTTCGCAGTTCATTCGTGTTGACAGTAGTGTGTAGGTTTGCCTAGTGTTACCGCGCACTTTTGCGCATCAACGATCCGCAGACCCTGCGCAGTCAACTCACATAATCAATATTTACTACAAGGCTCAATTTAAAGAGTAACTTGGCCTGATGTAATTAATCCACTGCAGATGCAAACACGTCGAAGCCATTTGGTTTTATCTTTTGGAAAGACAAAAAATATGGTTTTGTCCTACTGTTTTGAGTTCTGTTTCTCCATCTCGTTGCATGAACTTTTACTCCGGTGCCAACACAGGTGCCTCCATGACCCTTATACCCTGGCACGGTTCTTTTAAAAAAAAACAAAGTCATATTTGTATTTTTGTATCTAAATATTTGTTATTTCAAATATATGCTAGTATATCGTCTTACGATTCATCAACTACGGTGTTTGTATCGTGGGAAGGTTTTTCAGAATGGGACGAGAGGACTCGTCCAATATCAGGCGTGGGGATATGTTTTTTCTTTCTTTCTTTCTTTCTTTCTTTCTTTCTTTCTTCTTTCTTCTATTTTCTTTAAAGGGACTTACTGAATGTGCTTCAGATTTTTTTGCACACATCAATGTTATACTACTATTTACTGAGAAATCGTATACTGTGACTTGAGCTTCGTTGATGACTTTGTTAGAAAAAAATGGCGATTTTAGACTCTACTGCACTGTTTACGATTATCCTCAAATAACATGTTGTTATTTGATGAGTTCTGAACATTATTGCTATGTTTTTCTTTTCTTTTTTTGTTATTTTGTACCATTCTTTTAAAGAAATTGATTACGGTTTGTTGTGCATGAAACCTTAATATTTTTCAACAATCGAGCATCGTTTTATGAAGCAAAAAATGTAATGACATTCTGAGAATGATTCATTGTATATTATGATGCCATTTTCACTGTACTTGGTGAATTAATAAATGGTGGGAAAATACGATAATGTGGACTTCTGGTCATTTGGGACAGATTATATGTCTCAGAGTTTGCAGGCATGTGCGCTGGGAAGTGTATAGCTTATATAATTATTACACTAGGGATGACATCACTTAGAGCGAGCTGTTAGGCCAGTCCACTCTGGTGTTCTCTTCCTGCTCTCAATCACTCCTGGGGCTTCTGTTTAAGCAGCTGGAATAAACCAGTATGGCTGGAGGCCTTCAAGATTTGGGCTCTCTGGACTGCTTTTTCATGCCTTTGGTTGACTTCATGGGCAAAGCCTGTGGTCACCAACCCTTGTCCTGGTACATCTACCTTCCTGCAGAACCTAATTCCAATCACAATCTGCTTTGCCTGCTCCAGCTAATAAACCTCGCCAGAAGTTCTTGATTGGCTAGATCAGAAGCACGCATTTGCTAGATGCAGGTTGAAACTAAACTCTGCAGTAGATCTCCAGGAGGAAGGTTGGTGACCACTGGCTGAGGGCATGTTTAAACCAAACTAATTGCAGCTTAACACACATTAAAACATATGTTCAGCAGTGGTTACAAACCCTGCTCCTGGAGATCTACCTTCCTGGAGAATTTAGCTCCAGTCCTATCTAATCTAACACACTGGATCCATGAAGTGGATTGATGATCTGGATGAGATCAGTCAGAATTGAAAACTCTTCAGGGAGGTAGATCTCCAGGAGCAAGTTTGATGAGCACTGCACTACAGAGACTTTGGACACAACGACAGTTCTCTTTAGGATATTGTGAAGTGAAATCTGATTGGTTGAGGCCAAGATCTAATGGTTAGAAGGCAACTGGGAAATGTCCTACAATGCCTGTTTCAGCTTGTGCAGAGCAGTTTTTTGTAGAACAGGGGTACACCACTCCAGTCTTAGAAGGCCTGTGTCCAGCAGAGTTTGGTGATTTACCTGCTCAAAAACATCTGATTCAACTGATTTGTTTATTGCCAGGTTTAGTGGGTGAGTTTGAATATGGGATCCACCAAACTATGCTGGATACCAGCCCTCCAGGACTGGAGTTGTGCACCACTGTTCCAGAACATTGTAAATGGGGAGAACATTCTAGAAACTCAAAACAGTTTTTGTTGGGTTTGGCATCCCAACAAAACCACGGTGTTTGTTGAAGAACGCTGAGTTGGTGTACTCAACACTCCTGATTTATATAATCAGATAATTATAAAGTCCTTCATGAACTTAGCCAACTTGTTCTACACCCCTACACTCCTCTCTTGGCTTGAATGAATGGTCCTAGGAAACATCATGTTTCCAAATTTCTACATAATTCAGTTATTGAGATGTAAACAATGAACGATTCTCACTCGGTTTCTCTAGAATGGACCATCTCACATCAAACTATCCTGAATAAATTTGTTTACATCTTAACCATTTCATTATACAGCAAAATGGTTGTTTCAATAGCCAAGTGGTTCTGCTATGGTCTCGCTCCTTTTTGCCATAGTGTATATTTTGGGATGGAATTTGGGGAGTCTGTTATAGGTCTGGAAATAGTGTTTTTCTTACCCACTCAAGCTCCAGCCACACTGTAGCCACTGCAGCATTGATCAGCTGTATTTATATGTACACTACCATTACCTATAGCCCCACTGCTTCCTGTGGACAGAGGCTGAACGCTCACAGAACAGAGTTATGTTTTTTTTTCTCAAAAAACACAAAAAAGATTGTGCTGGTATTTTGATCTTGGAAGGCAGATAGAGAACAGAATATATAGCCTCATAACGTCCTGTGACTATTTTACTGCTCTGCACTCATTTGAATGTCATGGTCAGTGAAGTATTTCTACATGTCATCAGTTTCCACTGCAGTTCAATACATAAGCGTCATTCTCCTTCCTCTCAGACAGAGGAACACACACCTGAAACTAGTACAGCTAGAATGCTAGTGATCCAACTAACAGGCAATTGCTGATTTAAACTTTTGTGGTGAATAGATTTGAAGTTCTCACACTGTAACCTTACGGCATAATGTTGTTCACATGTTGTTATGCTTGTTGCTGTACAAGGATATTTGGCCCCAAAAGTGCACTTCTATGCACTGTGGAAGTCCAGTTCTTAGGCTGTATCTTGCTTCAGAAGAATAGAGTAATAAAATCAAAAAGTAAAGAAAAAGCTCACACAGATCTGAAAAAATATGTGTGGAAATACACTATATGGTCTAAGGTCCTCCTAGTTATTAAGTTCAGGTGTTTCTGCCACACTCATTGCAAAATGATATGGTATAAAATCACATAAATAAAATCAAATAATTCACAATAAAAATTTCCATGGACAAACATTGACAGTAATGGGTCATACTGAAGAGCTCAGTAACTTCGAACATAAACACTGTTATATGATTCCACCTGTGCCACAATTTTTTCAGTTTGTGAAATTTCTGCCCTGCTACATCTGCCCTAATCAATTGTAAGTGCTATTATTATGAGATGGAAGCATCTTATAGCAAAGACAGCTCAGCCACAAAATTGTAGACCATGCAAACTTACAGACCTGAGGCCTGTAGTGTATTAAAATCACTTATCCTCTGTTGCATCACTCACTACACAGTTCCACACTGCTTTTTAACCAACATCAACACTAGTTGGGAGCTTCATAAAAATGGGTTTCCATAGCCAAGCAGCTGCACATAAGTCTTAAGATCACTATGTGCAGTTCTAGGCGTCAGTTGGAATGGTATAAAGCAGTGGAAATATGTTCTCTGGAGTGATGAATCATGCTTCACTATCTGGCAGTCTGACGAATCTGGGTTTGGTGGATGCCATGAGAATGCTACCTACTGGAATGCAAGATGCCAAAGAGTTTGGTGAAGGAGGGATAATGGTCTGGGCCTGTTTTTTAGGGTTTGGGCTTGGCCTCTTAGTTCCACATCTCCTCCATGCTATCTCTTAGTCCTATCTCCATTCATTAAAAAGAAGGCAGGGAGGGTGGTATTTAGGTTAAAGTAGAAGCTGCCCAGAACTCATACAGTCTCTTCTCAATATTCAACCGTATGTTGAAGGCATGGTTAGAACTAGCAAAATGATCATTCAGAAAAACACTGAACTTTTCAAAGCAGAGTCAATTTTGAACACAAAACCCAAACTGAAGTGATTCATTTTACTCTAAACGCTATATCATATTCACTGACAAACAGCTCACCCACATACAAAAGCTTCCACATTTCCTAAAATCCAATGCTGATAGATTAGACAGTATATAAATCAAAGTGGCCACAACATAACAACTGGCAACAACATTTTAAGGTACACCCATTACTGACACAAGCATTCAGTTGTGCACAGCTGTGCACAGCCAGTATAATCTTTATAGAAAAGCCTTGCCAATACAAGGGACGCTCTGGAGCAGCTAAACACAGGCCTAAGGTCACCATGCCCAATGCCAACGTTGGTTACAGGAGAATAAAAGCCCCCAGCTTTGGGCTGTGGAGCAGTGGAACATCCAACATGCATTCAATACCTTTGGAGAGAGTTGGGTTGGCGTCTGTGATCCAGAACCATCCAACAGTAGCACATAACCTCACTAATGCTCTTGTGCCTGAACGCAATCAAATTCTTACAGCAATGTTCCAACATCTAGTGTAAAGCACTCCCAGAAGTGTAAAGGCTTATACTGCAGCAAATGGGGGACAAACTCCCTATTAATACTTTTGTCTTCTGCAGAAATCCACTTTTCCCATTTGCTGGCCTGTTACCATTTGGAAAGACCCACCAGCACCTGTTCAATTTGCAGATTTCCCACAGACTACAAATACTCCCTCAGTATTGTCACTCATTGAGAAGTCTTGCTGATTCATTGTGTAGTCTGAGCCTTCCCCGTTTGTAGTGTAGCCTTGATCTGTTCTGACCTTGTTTGTGTAACCTGACTCTCCGTCTGTTTTGTCCTCTGGTGTTCGTCTGTTTTTGACCATTGCCTGCCTACTAAAGCTTATCCTGCTTTGTTCCAAGCTGCATGCTTGGCCATGATTATACGGACTAAAGTAAATAAATGTAATGCAGGTAATGTTCAGCTTTAGCTTACAGTTGTAGCAAAAGTTTGGGCCCTTTGGTCAACTTACGTTTGTGAAAATAAGTACACATCCTCTACAGAGAACACATATCTGCACATTTTAATGCATCCTTACTGTTCATTTGCTAAATTTAACATATTGGAAAAAACATAAAATGGGGCCTGTAGATTTCATATTTATATTTTTTATTTTTCCAATATGTTAAATTAATTAAGAAAACATTATTTAACTAGGAATGTTCAAACTTTTGCATATGACTGTAGTTGTGGTTGATGTATTGTGTAGTCACTATTATTACATGCTTCATTACTTGAGCTGATTGCAATTATTTAAGTTGACCATGGTAATTTTCCACAGTTGTGGAAACAGAAGGTGAAATGGGTGCATTTTCATCCTTTGGACTGCAGAGGTGGGAATAAGCGACTAAGTTGCAAGTAACAAATAAGTCTCAAGACTCGACCCAAGTTCTTACTGGCAAGTCTCAAGTCGAGTCCCAAGTCTTAATCTTTGAGTCCTAAACAAGTATGCATTTTTCAGCTAATTTGAGGCAATTTCAACACTGAACATCTAAAATGTTGCCAACTGTAATACAGCCTTTTAATGACGGCATCTTAGTCATGTATGGCTGTATATTCAATTTTATCTGTTTATTTTTTTAGTATTTTTTTTTTTTCAAAATAAAATAAAAATCCATGGTATACAGATAGCCATGACAGGCAATCTGTATACACAAAGAGTCATGCAACTACTGCTGAACTACTATTGTATTTAATTATTAAAAAAAAACCCTTTATATTCAAAGATAATAACTTGCTCTGCTCTGCTGCCAGGTTTTAAGTATTTTCTGGTGTGGTTTTTCACAGTTAAAAATAGGGAATTTTCTGAGGACAGCTCCAGCCAGGGACAGGCCACCAAAAACAGGGATGTCTGGTCACCCTAAGTTAGGAGCTACTAAGTATAGACAAGTAG